CCGCCGAGGGCTGCGAACACGCAGGCAGCAGCGGGGGCAAAGCTCAGCTTCCCACGGGACGCGGGACGGAGCCAGCCCAGCGCCGCGCGGCAGTCGGCTGGCGCTGTGCCGGTGGGTTCGGAGGGCCGGGCACTTGGTTGGGCTCTTGTTTACGGGGCTGAGGACGAGCTCTCCTGTTTGCTTGCTGGTTCAGGTCTGGGGCTTTGCCACTTTTCCTTGCTGGCTGCAGGGGCTGTTGGGACCTGCTGCTTCTCCCATCCCAGCCCAGCGTGGATCTGGGATGGTCGGGGGTCTCAGAGGGCAGCGGGATGCAGAGAGCCTTGGCACGGAGGGCACGGGGATGGAGATGGGAGCAGCAGTAGGGAAGCGAGAGGGGTGCCCCTGTCTCCCCAGTAAATCCATGCTTGGAGTAAGCGGGAGCAAAACGCTTCCTTCATTTGTGCCAGCGTGTCTGCGGGGCTGGAGAGCCCTTTCAGGGAGCAGATCCCACCGCCTGGCATCCCTGCAGGGTCCCTCCTGGCAGAGGGACGCGGGCAGAGGATGCACCAGCTACGGGGAAGGCAAAGCATCCCCAAAAGCTGGGGACAGCCTGCAGAGAGCTGGCAGCAGCCGAGTCCTCCAGGAAGCTTTTCAGGAGGGGGGTTACCAAGCCCAGGGTGACATTTCCCTTCGTGTTGGCCTTGTTGTGGCATCGCGCTGCTGAAAGCCGAGGGGTCTGCTCTGCTGGGGGGGGTCTGCGTGGGACAAGGACCCTCCTTTGGCTTCAGGAGCCAAAGTATTAAAAGGAGATGGCTGCGAGATGGCTGGGATCAGCCGTCCCTTCGGAGGGGCGGAGAGTCCCTTCCTGGCAAAGGCGGCCACGGGAAACATCTACAAATCTTGAAGTGTAACATTAGGAGAAAATTCATGACCTTTGCAGAACTCTGGGACGGTCCCAGAGCCCTCCCCACCTCCGTGCTTCCCTGAGATAAATCACGGGAAACGTTGATTTAAGAGGTGTAGAGTATCTACCTCTTGTGTAGATATGGGCAGTATGGATAATATCCCAAAAAACCAGAATTTAGGTGAAAGCCCAGAAGTATTTGGATGGGAAAAGGCGAAGCAGGCCAACTCTTGGAACGGGATTAAAGTGCTGCATCCAAGAGCAGGCCTGGGTGCGTGCGGTGAGGACGGATCCGCTTCTCCCCGGGGGCCATCCTTGTGCCATCACATCCCTGGTGCCCTGACGTGGAGTTGCTGGGTGGATCCCCGCAGTGCCGGCACCCTCAGTGTGCTGCGGGTGCTCCGGGGACCGGAGGGCTGGGATGCAGGAAAGCGGGATGTCAGCTGTGGCCACAGCCAGAGCTGTCAGAGTCCAAACCTGGTCCTCACCAGGAGCTGGGTTGTGCTGGTGCTGATCGAAGGGGCCAGTAGCAGACCTTGCAGAGGTCACCCTCTCGCTCAGGCTTCGCTCCGACTCCAAAAACCAGAGTTTTCCCCAACTGGGAGTCGCTTTGGGAGTCGTGGTGGCCTCGGTCAGCATCGCAGCGAGCAGATCACGGTCTTTGCTGCGGCGTCTGTGGGCTGAGGTTGGCACAGGACAGCTTGGTGCTGTGTCATGCCAAAGAGCAGAGCTTCCCAAAACACCCGCCTGCCACGCGGACACCGGTGTGCATCCCCAGAGGAAAGCGGCTGCACAGCCCTTGACGGCAGCGCTGGTGGCACCACTCTGGAGTAACCGTGGTCCCGGGAGAGGGGCTGGGACACAGATGAAAGGAACTGGTTTATTTTCTGGTGAACAACCGTGGGTTTGTCGTCTCTGCTTTTATCAAGCCAGAATGACTTTTTTGTGCACCGGCATTGCGGGCTGATGGCAGCTCCGCTCTGGGAACAGCGCGTGGTGGCCGATTGCTGTGCCGTCTTGGCACAGGGAGAAGCCCCCGGAGGCTTTCCCGGCGGGTCTCACCTCCTGGTGTTGCTTTTTAAAAGCGATCCTTTTAAAAGGATCTTGGGCGAGCCGGAGGCCAGCGGTGCTTGGTGCCAGCCGCGTGTGCTGTGGGGCTCATGGGTGGCACAGAGCTTGGTGCTGGCCACATGTGCCGATGGGCTCGTGCGTGGCATGGGGTGTTGGTGGCTCGAGGCTCTCGCAGGGGGACTCTGTGGGTTCATATTTGTAGGGTTGGCATCGGTGTGAGCCGTCCTGGCGCAGGGGCAGGAGCTGCAGCCTGCCCTTTGCTAGGAGGGGTGCCGCAGAGCAGGGCTACAGGCGAAGTGCCAGTGGTAGGGATGGCGTGCCGGGGGGATCCTGTGTGCTCAGGGGGTTTGCCGGGTGGCTTTATGTGCAGATGGCAGGTCTCAAATGTTGCTCTTTATCTGAAATCGTTCTAAAAAGGGCTGGGGGAGGGAAGGGAATTAATCTTCATACCGAAACAGCTTAAAATCAACCCAAAATCTGTAAAGCCCCGCAGTTTAAGCCCTTTCAAAAGCAAAACATAACAGAGAGGCAGCAAAGCCCCGCCAGCTCGGCTGGGCTGTGCCAAACGGCGCGGGGTTTGGAGCGCTCGGTGCCGGGGCTCTCTGACCTTGCCGAGGTTTCGTTTCCAGCCCGGAGACAACTGTGGAGAGGAGCGAGCGTGAGCAGGGAGAGCCCTTTGCACCTTCTTGGAGGGAAGAGACGGCCCTCCCGAGGCGGCGGAACCGCGAGCGGGGAGGAGCGGGAGCGGGTATAAATAATCCTCCCCATCCCGTGCGGCTTATCTGCTGGCCAGAAGCCACTTATCACCTCGCAGCCGCTGCTCTCCCACTGCCAACCTCCAAAGGGCTCCGGAGGGGGGTTTGTCCCTCTCCCTCCCCGGGCTGCGGTGGGAGGGAGATAAGAGAGAGGCGTTTGGCAGCTCCAGGGCTCCGGCTGTGCTCGGTGCCCGCTCAGCCCGCGGGCAAAGTGGATGCAGACGGCTTGGCAGCCCTGCTGCCCGGGTCTGGCCAGCTCACAGGCTTGTCCCCAGGGGTTTCAGCCCTAAAGGGTGGGAGAGCTAGAGGTTTGGGTGGGAGTGGAGGGCTCAAAGTGGGGAGAGGAAAGGGATTGTGCTTGGGGGGATGAGGACAGTTGAGCTGTAGCCCATGTGTTTGGCTTCCATCCCCTGGAAAGGTCCGTTGGCACATCAGGACAGGTCAGTGCCCTCTGTCGTGACACCCCTCAGTGCTTTTGAGAGCTCAGGGGAGCGTTTATTTAGCAGGGCTGTAGGAAGTGGTGTTTGTGCTGCACCTTTTCCAGGTCAGAGCGTGCTCCTGAGTGACAATTTCTCCATGTTGGCCATGGCCTGGGGTCGCAGAGGCTCAGGGGGGGGTAGTGCTGCAGCCAGGCTGTGGTTGCATCTCTCCCTCCTCCATCTCATCCCTCACCCACCCAGCATGGGATACCCAGGAGACCCCACTCCCATGCACGGGGAACGCGGGCCCTTCCCCACCACCCGTAACCCAGCTCCTTCCTCACCCCATCCCCAGCAACAGCAGTGCCGAATCCTTGGACCGACTGTACCCTACGGTGGGCTCCACCAAGCCGCCCCGAAAGCGGACCACGAGCCAGTGCAAGTCTGAGCCACCCCTGCTGCGGACCAGCAAGAGGACCATCTACACAGCTGGCCGGCCACCATGGTACAACGAGCATGGCACGCAGTCCAAAGAGGCCTTCGTGATAGGTAGGAGAAGGCAGCGCGTGTCCGGGCTCTGTGCTTCCACCGGTGCGGGCTAGCACAGGCAGTGTTGTTGCTGCCTGCCCGGTGGCTCTCCAGGAGATCTTGGGGGGGTTCCTGCCCCACAACCTCCTTGGGAACTTGAGGTTGGCTCCAGACTGTGAGCTGCTCAGCCCGGGAGCAGGGAGAGTCCCAGTGGTTAGTCCAGCATTGACTGGGTGAGCTGTAGGATTGGACAGAAGCCGAGAGCTTGCAGATGGGCTGATGGATTATAGCAGGCATTGGGCAGACCACAGCCTTTGCTTGTTGTTCCCTCAACTCTCGTTGCCTGGATTGTCACGAGTTCCCAGGGATTTAGCCTAGACTGGTTCTCATGCCAGCTCTCGCCCTGTTACACAACCCTCTAACGAAGGGTTGCCCAGCCTTAGCTGTGCACATCGCCGGTGGTTACAGTACGTGCCATTTGACACTCTCAAGGGTAATCTCTCTCTTGTAGTGCATGTTGATCTCCCACTTTGGAGGTTCCTCCAACTTAGTGCAACGGAGTGGGACCTGGAAAGTGCTTGGAAAGGCAGATTGTGAGGTTGGTGGCTTCATCCCCTTTTCCCTGGCAGGTCTGGGAGGAGGCAGTGCCTCTGGGAAGACCACGGTGGCCACCATGATCATTGAGGCTCTTGATGTCCCGTGGGTGGTTCTGCTGTCCATGGACTCCTTCTACAAGGTGAGTCTGCGCATCGTCTGGCCAGGCCCCTTGGGCTGCTGTGGCCCTTGGCCTAACCCCCTGATGGGGAAACGCAATGTTGATTAAGTGACAACCTCATGGTTTCCCTTGGCCCTTTCAGATGGCTCTCGGGGCAGGAGGAGATGTTGCTGGGCACAGCAGTGGGGAGGGAAGGCTGCTGGTGGGTACGGCCACATGGACTAACCCCTTCTCTGTGGGCAGGTGTTGACCAAGCAGCAGCAGGAGCAGGCAGCCAGCAATGACTTCAACTTTGACCACCCCGACGCCTTTGACTTTGACCTCATCATCGCCACCCTGAAGAAGCTGAAGCAAGGCAAGAGCGTGAAGATCCCCATCTACGACTTCACCACCCACAGCCGGAAGAAGGAATGGGTACGGGGCACTGAGGGGGGTGGGACAAGGTGAGGGCACTGCCAAGGCAGGAGAGGGGGGTGCTGTTTGGACCCCTCCAGCCCTGCCTTTTGCAGTTAGACTCGTGCAGTCGCCCTTTGCTCTGTGGCTGGCTCAGGGCCCGTGTTCCAGGTGAGCAGCGCTGCTGTCGCAGTCACCGACAACCCAGAGGAAAATGCTGGGATGGGACATTTCTGAACACGTTCTGTGTCTAACCACATCGGTTCTGACTCCACAGAAAACCCTCTATGGCGCCAACGTGATTATCTTTGAAGGCATCATGGCATTTGCAGACAAGGAGCTCCTGAAGGTGAGGAAGGGTTTGGGAGCCTCCAGCTCCCTCTTCTAGAGCTTTAATCACAGCACATGGCAGGCAGAGTCCCCGGTGCCCTGGGGCTCCTGCGCAGCAGTGGACGGGACCCCATGCTCCCACGGTGCTTCAGCATCACCCCTACAAACCAGCCCTTCACCCCGTAGCCAGCTAGGGGGAGATGGTGGGAGCATGCTTTCTTTTTTAGCAGCAGGGAGGTGACCTTCTCTTCCAGGAGACACCAGCTGCTGCAGCACTTCACTGCGCAGGAGGAATAGGCTTTAACTCTTGCCGCAGCAGGGGAAGAGCCCCCGGCAGAGGTCAAGTGCTTCAGCCATCCATTCCCAGAAACTGGGAGCCGAGTGGTGACCTGATTCCTGGCCGTGGTGGTGCATAAACAGGACTAGAAATAGCCCACCTCATGCTGCCTGCCTCAGCTTGCGTGGCCAGAAGCAAAGTCTGCTGTAATTCTACTGCACAAAGCCTGGTATTCCTAGGGTGGACTCATCCAGCGCTTCAGGCTTTCTTGGGAATTATTTGGATACATGAGAAATGCTGTAGGAGAGAGCGAGCCATGCACAAACTTAGCCAAGCTCAGTCTAGAAAGTTTCCTTCCCTGGGTTGCACTTTACTGGAGCAACGATGACCTCCAGTGGACAGCTGGGTAAGTCCCCCAGGAGTTTCCTCTGAGCATTACTCCCTCACCATTAAGGGCATCGTCATGAGCTGCCGGGCTGTGCTTCATAGATTTCATAGATTTCATAGATTTCTAGGTTGGAAAAGACCTTAGAGATCAGGAAAAGACCTTAGAGATCGTTAAGGCTTGGCTCCCCTCCAGCCTTAACGAGCCCTCCTGGGTTAAACCTGCTGGTCTGGGCCGTGGGCGTTAATTCTCTTGTCTTCTCCTTGCTCTTAAATAACACCCAGCCAAAGCTGGGGCTGCTTAGGAGCAGAGGGTTTGGAGCAGGACAGGTCTCAGGGCACATGAGAGTAAGGGGCAAGTGGCAGCGAGGGGCTCACTGCACTGGTTGCCAGGTTCAAGTTCAGGGGTTGCAGAGGCAAAGCTCCCTCCAGAGCTGAGCTGAGCTCTGTTAAACCAGTGTTGTGCTGCGCACAGGGCTCAGCCTTCTGGCTGTGGCCGGTGGAGAAGGTTGGTCCCAGTCGCACACCTAACCCATCAAGGGTTTGTTCCCTCCCTTCTCATTCCAGCTCCTTGATCTGAAGATATTTGTTGACACGGACTCGGACATCCGCTTGGTGCGTCGCCTGCGCAGGGACATCAGCGAGCGTGGCCGTGACATCGAGGGTGTCATCAAGCAGTACAACAAGTTTGTCAAGCCCGCCTTCGACCAGTACATCCAGCCCACCATGCGGCTGGCCGACATCGTCGTCCCCCGAGGTACTGGCCCAGGGCTGCCGCGTCGCTCCGTCCTGAGCAGGACCTGAGAGACCCCGTCCCTCTGCCCTCAGCTCTGCTGGCCAGTCCCACCGCCCACCGGCTGGCGAGGACGGGAGAGTGGCTGTCCCATGCCAAAGGAAAGGTCCCTCTGGTTGAGTGTCTCCAAACACTGGCCGAAAGCAGATTCCTTAGGGGAAAGCCTGCACTTTTCCCTCTACCGCTCTCCTGCCCTACCAGCTCCTGCAGCTTAGCGATTTAAAAGCAAGAGGTGGCTTGTAGATATTCATCAATAATAGATTGCTAAATAAGATTAATAAAAGCAGGACTGTCTCCTGCCTTGCTAGGGAAGGCTTGTTTGGGGAAGCAGAGGTATGGTGTGGTTTTGGACGTAGTGGGGATCTTGGGGAAGAAATGTGTTTCAGGCAGTGCTGGCACTGTGGTCCTGACCCCGCTGTCTGGCTTTTCTCCAGGGAGTGGAAACACAGTGGCCATCGACCTGATCGTTCAGCACGTCCACAGCCAGCTGGAAGAGGTGAGAGCTGCCTGGTTCCCCGGGTGTTAGTGGTGGGTGAAGGTTGCCTGCACAGCGGTGGTGTTGCAGGAAGCGGTGCTCCGGGTGCCATGGTGGGAATGGCCCGGCTTCCCTCCGTGCTCCAGGCGTGTGAGCTGTGGGGCTGTCCCTGTGAACTCGTCCCAGCCCTGCTCCCTCCGTTTCAGCGATGGAGACTGCCTTGTCCCTGTGCTCTGGTTAGTGGAAGGCTCCTCTGGAAGCTGTGGTCTCACTGCAGCTTCCTTCCCTCCCTGGGGGAGCAACTCATCTGGGGACACACCAACCGTGTTCCAGTGATCTGAATGATGTGCCCTCAGTGCCTGCAGCCCTCCCAGGGCCAGCATCTCCCCAGACCCTGCAGTACTTCAGCTCTCTGACTCTGGCTTCTCCTCTTTGCCCCCTTGCACACCCTGCTGCACCGTCTTTCCAGTCTAGAGCCCATTTTTCCACTTCCACGTTGGGTGCAGCCCATGGGTTTCAAGACCCAAAGTCTCCTCATGTTTGACTACCCAGCCTGAGCACATCCAGGCACGTGCTCCATCACTTCCCCATCACTGGCTTTAACAAGTTGTCTTCTGTGTGTCCTGGGCCAGCCTCGGGCAGTGGTTTGAGCCTGGGACCCCTCGATCAAATGCTGCTGCTGTGTGTTGCTGTTCCTCGAGCAGCACAGCCTCCTCCCGCCCCACCTTCGTAGCTTTGATGTTTAAGTGGTGGAGATGCTCAGGGTGATGTCCTGGGGGGTGGAAGGAGCGTGAGTTGGAGACGGATGCACTTGAAATTAAAGGGCTTGATTCCTGCAGGCCTTTCTGAGCTCCCTGGCGGCCGGATGGCATCGTGCCTCCCGTGCCCGCTCCGGAGGGACTGCTCTGAGGCAAAGGCATGATGGGAAGCTCCCTGCTCCCAGACCACCCTGCTGTCCGCAGGCTGCAGGCAGCAATCGGGGCTTTCTGAGTGCCCGGATTTACAGCACTAAGCTCTGACAAGTCAGGAAGTCACAGGAGCAAGGATCAGAGCCCTGGCATCGTCGCTAGCACCGGGCTGAGGAGGGCACACGCCGTGGGCGCAGGCCAGGAGCGGGGAAATGGCTGTTTCTCCCAGCCCCTGGGATCTGGCCAGGAAAGCTCGTGCAGCGAGCAAACGTGGCAGCTCCTCCCCAGAGCACTGCTTCGAGCCAGGCGAGGGGTTGGCTTTGGGGGGGGCTTTCATTTACCTGGGATGGGGAAGAAGGGGAAAAGGCTACATGTGAATGCAGGAAAATACTCCTATTTTTCCTTTTCTTTTATCTTGAAACGACCCTGGTGTTGACAATGCTTAATACCGGTTGCATTGTGTCTTTGTGTTGCTGCCGCAGCGTGAACTCAGTGTCAGGTAAGAGCCCCTAACTCTGTCCTGTCTGTGCAGCCCGAGGCATTTCCAATGCCAGGCACTGCTTGGCCTCACCCCGACCCGCGGTCGAGACCCACGGCTCCCGTAACGCACCGCCTCGTCACGCTCAGAGCTGACAAAAGGCCGCCTTGGCCTTGGCCTTGGGACCAGCAGGGACAGGGCTGCTCCCCAGGGATGCATCTGTCCTGCCAGGGTGCCACCAGCTTGAGCTGGGGCAGGGCCAGGTTCGTTAGCTGGGGACCCCCGGTCTCTGCCAGAGGGGAGGCTTCGCATCCTGGGGTTCTCTCTTATTTCCCTCCATCCTCTAAGACGAACAGTTGTTCAGAGCCATTCTCCATCCCTGATGATTAAACATCGTTAAGCATCAATTAGGAGATTAACCAAAGTGGCTCGAGGGTGGTGGGCGCCCTGGATCCCTCGCCAGCCTGATCCACCCGGGAGGAGCGTAGAAGCTTTGGCGTGGCGAGAGGTACCCGCTCTCCTGCAGTATCCAAAGACTACACAGCAGCTGCCTGGGGGCTAAGAAAATACTTAGGCCTTAATCCAGCGGGATTTCTCATTTCTCAGGATCTGCAAGTGGATGCTGTAAAGTAGACGTTGAGTTACTTAACCTCTTCAGTGTGTGGAGCCAGATGGGACTCTAGCTCTTGCTTCCATTAAGCAGCCAGCTAAGTTTCCAGGTATTTTTGTAGGAAGCAGAGGGGATGCATTACTGCAGATGGGTTTCCGTTTAGATCTCCGTTGTTGTATGGAGACACTTAGCTGAAGTGACCCTAAAATTTACATCTGGCTTACAAAAAGCTTTTAAAATACCGAAGATGAGCAGGAAAAAGGCTCTGCTTTACTTATTTCTGCTGAAGCGATTCGTTTCCTAGAGTAGGCAACTGGGTGTTTTATTCGATTGCTCTTTGCTTGTTTAACTCCATGGAGCCTGGCGTTTCCATGCAGACGTCGCAGCGCCAGGCCTAAGCTTCCCTGTGTGTCTGGAGCTCCAGGTGGGAAGGTGGAGAGAAGTCTGTTGCTTCAAAAAATTGCAGGAGTGACATTAGAAGGTGAACTGATGTGTGTATGTGTATAGGTATATATGCCAATACATATGTGTGTGTGTGTGTATATATCTATACACATATAAAATTTCCTTTCTCTCCAGGGATTCTCCTCTTTAATCAAAGTGGCCCTCAGTGCACTTTAAAAACCAAGTATTTAATAACATGTCAAGAAAATATGATAGCAAGTTTGGAAAGGTAACTCTGACCTCCAGAAACAACTCCGTGGTAACCACAGCCGCAGACGTTTTTATGTTCTGTTTAAGGCTCGTGCTTTCTGTTTATGCCTCTGCCAGAAAGTCTGGAAAAAATTTCCTGCAAAAAAAGTCTGTTTACACTCCTGGAGTCCCTGTGCTTCTACTGCTGCGGCGGTTTCCCATCAGCTGCTCTGCAGCCCCACGCTCGCAAGAGGAGCGAGGCGAACGGGGAGAGGTGTGCTGGCAAACAGGGGCTTTCATCCAGAACCATTCCCTGTCCTCCTGCCTTGAGTGGCTTCACCGAAATGTCACGGGTGTCGTTCTGATGTCACCGCCGTGGGGACACAGTGACGCCTCTGTGGCTGGTAGGAGAAAACCTGGATGCTCAGATCTGGCCCCAGTCCCAGGCGCTTCGCTGCTCCCTGTGCCCAGGGAGGCCGGGGTGCCTCTCCCCGGCTCTCAGCTGATCCGATGGGGGAATTCTCAGGAATTTAAAGAAAGTGGTGCCCTTCCCTGGACCTGCCGGCCTTTTTTTTCCTCCTGTGAGTGCTGGTTGCTGAGGAGCATCGTTGCCTTCCTCTGTGTTCCCTCTGAGCACAGGTCAGACCTTATCCTTGCACTTGGGGTATTTCCTGTCCAGCTTCCCCCATGTTTAACCATGCATGTGCTGGAGATGTAACTGCGTGCAGGCCCTCCCTTTCCATCCATGCCCAGGTGAGTACTTCTCCCCGAGCCCGTGCCTGCCGCGGCGCAGCGCTCTCAGCCGAGCCTGATTTCCGGCCCTTCTGCCACGCTGTTTCAGCAACCAGCCCGACACTCGGAGCCAGTGCTCTTTTCAGCTGAATTCCCCTCGCCAATCAATATTCCCCACCCCCAAGGTCTCGATCGGCTTGGCATGCCCTTTGCCAATTGTGCCTTTAAATATCAACCCGTGGCGCGGTTTAATAGCCCTTGTTTGAAATGTCAGCCGTGAAAGCCAGCCGCTGTACGTGTTTGAAATGCCTTGACTGCATTAGCTCCTTTGTAGCTGGGTGTCTCTTGTCTGCTTCCTGCTTGATAGCATGCTCAACAAAGAGCTGAGGATGTTCCCTGAAGCCTTCCTGAGAGATGGTCACCTCTTTCTCTCTCTTTCTTTCTTTCTTTCTTCTTCTTTTTTTTTTTTTTTCCCCTTTAAAGCTTTTGTTCTGGGGGGAAAAAATAAGTTTCCAAAAAGTGAGACGTTTTCTTGACGTGCTCATGGCTGCCCTTCTGAATTTTCCGTCGCGGTCCTGCCTGGCAGGGGGAGGGACAGGAAGCGTTGCTCTTGCAGGCAAGCTGCCTGCAGGTCCTGGTGGCAGAGACCCGCTGCCTCCGGCCCTCCCAGCAGGGCTGGGCAGGGGTGTCACCGCAGCGGCTGCTGGAGAGGCTGAGCTCTTCCCACTCGGGGGAAGCAGGAAGGTCTTCCCGCTGAGTGATGTTCAGTTCAGAGCTGGATTTCTCCCCGTGTTCCCAGTGCTCTCAGCTTTCCAGGCTCTCCGAGCCTTGAGCAGAGTTTCTCCAGTTTCTCCAGTGTGCTGGGAGATGGGCACCCCAGTGAGCCCACAAGCAGCTTGCAGGTTGGATGGAAGTTTTGTGAGCTTGGCCTTGAGCTGCCAGCACTTGCTCTGGGATTGCGGTGGAGCCCGGGATGAGGGCTGGGTGTTTCCTTCTGGGCTCCAAGAGCTGGTGGTGCAATGTGGTACCACCTGGGATGGAGATGGGGCAGTGTCCTTGTGGTGGTTCCGGGGCTGTGAGAGCGGACAGAGCTCTCTCCTGGTGGAGCTGGTGCCGTGAGGAACAGTTGTGACAACAACCTGATCTAGTTGGAGATGTCCCTCTTCCTTGCAGGGGGGTTGGACTAGATGACCTTTGAAGGTCCCTTCCAGCCCTAACCATTCTATGATTCTATGACATGACTCAGTCACCGAGTGAGGAGCTCTGGGGTCTGTACGGCAATGCCCGGGCACCGGGCAGGTCCAAGAGCCAGGGGATCAATTAGGGCTTTTTTTCCCCCCCTTCGACTAATGACAGTGCTTTTTCCTTTGTTTCATGTCGTCTTTGTCCCTCTCCCCTTAAACTCTCATGTTTCCTGTCTTGTCTCCCCTGAACATCCCTCCCACCCGGTGACCAGAGGAAGCTGCGCTGGGATATGTGAGGAGACAAACGCTAACGGCCATGTTTTGGTTGTGCCACTAACAGCTGGGAACGGGGGCGAGGGCTGTGCAGTGTGAGCCGCGGCACTAACCCGGGCCGGGGGTCCTCGAGCAGGCTACGCGCAGGGTCCTGCTTTGCTGGGGCTGTGCAGGGCAAACTCGGGGGGAGACGGGAGAGAGCATCTTTATCCCGACCCGAAAAAGGGACCTGCCACTGTCCCCCCAGAAAGCACCGTGGGGACCCCCACAGCACTGGGCTGTCGAGGCCAGCCCCCCCCGTCCCCGCCCCGAGCACCAGCCGCTGCGCGGGTGTCGCGGGAAGGTGTGGAAAGCTCGGTGATGAAACGCTGACAGCGTTTCCCGGGGGGTCTGTTGACAGCTCGGGGTGCAGGGGAGGTGTTCCCGGGCACGCGGGGCCGCTCTCGGAGGTAGGAGCGCTCGCTGGCTTCTGCGGCACGGAACAGGAGCTGGGTCACGCTGCATCTCACCTGGAGCCCCACAGAGACCAGGGCAGGAGAGAGGCTGCCCGTCCCGCTGGCATGGCGGGGTGCTGTGACATGGCCCTGGCAGTGGTGGAGGGGAGAGGGGCCCGTGGCAAGGTCAGGCATGTGCCCCTGGGTGGGCTGTGGTGGGTGGGAGGCAGCCCTGTGGGCTGTGACCCTGACAGCTCCTCTGGTTTGGGGGACTGCAGTTCGTCCCCT